TCGAAAACCTGCAATATATGATTACAACTATTTGTTAACTTTGATTTAAAATTTAATTAAATAGAATAGTTGGACCAAACAAGAAACTAGTTTAAAATGAAAAGGAAAATAATTACGACTTAAAAACGCATTTTCATTCGGTAAGCAAAGCGACGCAGTAATTATAGTGCACTGGCAACACGCCACTAGGCACGCAGAGGTGCCGTTTGCTGGCCGTGAATGAGAAGCAACGGCGGCGGCATAATTTTCTTCTCGCCAGAATCCAACAAAACACTATAGAATTCTATTTTGAATTCGCTGCTACTTTCATAGTTCTTGTTTAATCGTAATTCAGTCAGGCAATCAGTCAAATTGAAATCATCGTCACTATCTCATATAAAATCCACGCCATTGGTTGTTAGATGAAGTTCCATTGGGTTATGCAGATCTTTCATTCTCGTATTTCCTTTTTCAGGTAACCATCTGCTTTTTCTTTATACCCATTTGATTATCATGCGAATTTACTGTCTTTGGCATGTTTTCTTGTAAAAATTTGGTAGATTTTCATTTGTATTTTTCTTGAATTCCCAATCGTGCTACTTATATATTTCATTCCTGTTTGTTTAATTTGTATGCTGTGTCAAATTTGCTTGGCTTAACTGTATTTTTATGAATTTAATCATTTATTACTTCCTTGATATGTCAGGATTTTTGGTGATCACGATCCTTAAATTGGGGTTATTAGCAAAGTTAACTAATTCTTTTTGTTAGTGAATTTTTTTGGATATGTAGAGTAAATTTTGTTCCCTTTTTAATTCTTGATTGGTTTTTTCCTTTGCCTATTGTGACTTTTCAGTTTGATGAATGTTTGATTCCGTATTCACAACATGCCTGGAGCAGCCAAGGAACAAACGCACAAGAAAAAATTGCATGTGGAAGATGAGGCCAGAAATTTACAAAAAAAGAAACCTAAATTAAAACAAAAGAACAGGACTCATTCGTCATTATTGAAGAAAAAACTTACTAATCGGTTAGGTGTAAATAAGGGGATTCCTGGTTTGAAGAAGAAGGTAGTGGATAAAGCCACTGTGCATAAAACCAAAACCTGCAAGAAGCAACCCTCGTTGAGTGGTATAAATGATAAACTTCAGATCTTTAGCGCAGAGGACAGCGAAAAACAGGATGATGGAGATATAAAGTTGCAAAAGTTAAAGAGAAAGAGAAGGAGAAAGAAGAGAAAGGATAATATGGAGCTTGATGAAGCTTTGCGATTGCAAAGGAGGACGAGGTACCTGTTGTTAAAACTGAATCTGGAGCAGAATCTTATTGACGCTTATTCTGCAGAAGGTTGGAAGGGTCAGAGGTATAAATTATTGACCCTATTAGCCTTCTTAGAATCCTAGT